CTAGCCCTAAAGCTAGGCTTATTTACCGTGCTCGGAGAATCCTTCCTCCCTCTGAAGAGATTGACCCTATACAAGACCCTCCATGGCGTAGGGGTTTTGACCGACAAGCCCGTCTTCTAGAGGTAGGGGGACCAGACCCTAGCGGAGACAAGAATTCCTTTAAAGCCAAATTCCTTGAATTTCTAGCTGATGTTCCACCTACGGATCTGGTAGTATTTACCGACGGCTCTCGCTTAGACGACAAAAGTACTGGAGGTGGCGTATGTCTCACAAGAGGGGGGGTTATTCTTAATACTAAGGCTTTCTCCTTCGGCAAGGCATTGGAGATATATGATGCAGAGGCTAGGGCTGCTCTCCATGGACTAGAACTAGCTTCAAACTCCCTGTACTGGCCTTCGGCTAGGAAGTGCTGGATTTGCCTCGACAACCTTGAGGCTGCGCTTCAACTAACATACCGGTCTTGTGGCACATCGCAAGGGATCTTTAATACAGTCCATGAGTTAGCGTCATCATACCCTGGGAAAATACAGACTAGGTGGTGCCCTAGTCACATAGGTATCCTAGGCAATGAAATCGCGGACAGAGCTGCTGGGAAAGCAGCGCGGATACCCCCTTCTAATTCCCTCTCTCCACTTTGTACTGCTACGCTCAAGAGGGGGGTTCAAGAAACAGGGATTGGACTTGCAAAGAAGCTCTGGAGCGCTACACTCCCGGCTGTCTATAAGGATCTGGGGCTTGAAAATTGGTCTTTGAAGCCACGGTCTCTTCAATTACCAAGAGAGGTTCTAGCTCGCTTAATAGCTGCTCGTTCTGGGCATGGAGACTTTGTCGCTTACCACCTTCGCTTCTTTCACTTCGACGCATTACTTACCTCAGGGGATTGTAAGTGTAAGAAGGCTAAGTCTCAATTCCACCTACTCTTTTGTAGGCTAGCAAACAACGTAGCCCCTAGGCTACTAGCAGAAGCTCAGAGGAACCCTCAGCTGCTCTTCGGCCCCGGCTGCGAGGAGCTATGGTTTCTCAAAACTAATTAAGGATAAGGGCTGTCCCGAAAGTGGGGCTTCTCTTTAAACTGTTTCTTGTAAATTAGCGTCTCTTCTTTTACACCCCCTGTATCCTATGGCACCCCCCTAGCTTCATTTGCCCATATTGGGACTCTTCTAGGACCTAGCCCACGCGAGCTAGACTCCGCTTGACGTTAAATAGCAATAAAATAAAATAAAATACTGCTATCTACTATTGTACCTATACCCCTACATCCCTACCCTCGCTCAAACTTCACAGCCTTAAGATTTTACGTGTACACTGGCCACCCTCACTGTCGTACCCTCGCTGTCGCCTACACCCGCTTTCGGATATAGTTGTGCCCTAGTATGTTGTTTAGAATAGAGAGAGAGAGGGGGGGGGGAGTAGCGGAGGGGGACAGAAGTCGGGAAAAGTTTTCAGTCGTGCGTGTCGCTTATTCCTAGTCCCCGAATACTACCTTCCTAAAGAGGTTAGGCTAGCACGTGTTGCGCTAACAATCGTTTGCTACTTGCCTTTCCTCTCTCCCCCTCCTAATTTCTCTTCTCTTTCTTTACGACAACTCTTTATAACTACGATAGCCACAGCGATAGTAATAAAGAGAAGGGATAGGGGGTATTTGTTTACCAGGGGGCGGGGGGTTACGTTATAATAAAACCTCTAGCTACTAGAGCGGGATTATATAATTAGCACGTACGAGACATATATTAAGGGAGTAAGGGTTAGAGTAAAAGGGGGGAGGATGGGTAGAGGAGGGAGGGGTTAGGGGTTTACTAAGAGGGGCGGGCATAAAAGGGCGAACCGGAAAACTTATATAATTATACTATACGAAATTATTTAGACTAACCCGATTTTATTATCTATCTATTATAAAATAACTTTTATAATTTATAGCTTACGATTTAATTATCTAGTTTAATTATAGATTTAGGATACCGTACTACCAGGCCAGATTCCGTGTCTACCCCCAAAGACTTTCCGAACAATGAATTTGCGGTTGTAATATAACTCGATAAGATCGTAATAGTAGTAGTAATGTTTTTTTTAGTTAAGTACATTCTGTATATACCCATTCATAGATACCATACTCACGTGAAGGAAGTAAATGAAAGTAGCCCGCATTATGAGGCCATGCTATAAAAGTGAGTAATAATTAAGACCCAGGCGAACGTGGTTATTGGAGAAATAATAGTCGATGATTGGACTCAAGAAGCCTGCCTCCCTTTCTGTCCATAAAAACAGCCAGTACTACACAACAACCCAGCACAACACAACTACAAACACCAACACCAACATTTTCTACCCATCAGAAACATCATAACATGAGATATGTCTGCTTCAAATTCAACACATTAGGTGCAGTAAGTATCGTCGTGTTCCCCTCGAACTGCCATTACTGTTGGTACCAAGCAAATAGGATTCTTGTTCAATACCCCTTCTTCACTTTTTTTACATATTGGTCAAATATGGACCCATTTTGTGCAGTCCCATCAACAGGGTCTCTCAGTCAATACCACCAGAATGGATAAAGTGGATTCGGGATAGTAATAGCCCAGAAGAGAAGCTGGAGAAGTTGGAAAAACTTATCAGCGGCCGGGAGCGAAAATTTCTCCCAAAGAGGTATTACGAATTCATGCATCCGAAACGAAAACCATATGCACACTTGTCTCATGAGCTTCAAAAAATGTTTGGAGTCAGACTTAGAGTGAATGCGTTCCATCGTGGATAGTATAAGGGAAGTTTTCATGGCGGATAGGACAAGAGAGAGCAAAAAAGGTTGGCAAGTCATCTGGACGATGTGGAGTTGAGGAGAAGAAAATGTTTGGATGAAATTCTTAATTATCTCTGGGAAGACACTCAACTCTGAGCTGGCTCGGAGTTGTAAGAGCGGTATTTGCTTCTTATGGTTATCTTCAGGTCGAATCCTGCTGGATGGGGGACCTTTAAGCTGGGATCCAACCAATTACCATTCAGCATGGCTTCTTAGATATGATCTATTTTAACAACTCATTATTGTTCTTTAGGGTGACACACCATAGATATCTACAGTCAGTCTTCAAAGAGAATGAACCTACTCTTGTGATTTTGTTGATATACTAAGGTCATGCTGTTCCGGTCTTGTCGATATGTGTTACCAAAGGATCAAAGAAACCTTACACTTAGAGCAGAGTTGAAGCCTCCACTTTTATATAACATCTTCCCTGTAAATTAACGTTGTTTGGCTAACCTGTTCACGTTTCTAAACATTTCAGGTTTAGCCTAACTCAGTTATCGCGCCCATTTCCATCCACTTCAAGCGCACGTCTCTTGATTCTCTGATGTTCCGAGGGTACATTCACAATGCGGGTATATCACATTCTTCCACTCCAACAATCACTCATTTCAAATAAGAAATTCATAATGCATACACAACTTCCATCACTCGATAATAGGATTATTCCGACTATCAAGGATAGTGAGTCAATAGGTCTAATTTAAGTTTATAGGTACTCCTATTCTAGTGCTTCATCCCAGAAGAACACAAAGACACCCACAAACACCAACGTCACTTTATCTATCAGCTACCCATTAGTAATACCACAAGAAATGTCTACTTCAAAGTCGACCGAATGCAGCAAAGTTCAGACGCTGTAGGTGACGACTTCTTTGTCCCTTCGCTTCAAGTCCGTTTTAAGAGATGAGGAGCAACTCTTGTTAATACCCGCTGCCCTCGCATCTCAGTTGTACAGGATAAACACACGCTAATCTGGTACATTTGCAGTCCCGATAATGAGGGTCCCCCAATTCCGGGATGGATCAGCTACATCGATGAGGTCTCGGGCAGCATTTACAACTCGCAGGCTCTGGAGAGTTAGATAATCTCATCCTTAATCGGAGTCTGCCAGGGGTATTGAAGCTATATTTGGAGTATGATGATCCGTCCCAAAGCCCGCATGCACATTTGCCTGAGGAGGAACGCAAGAAAAAAGACAAGGAAGACTTGAACGCAATGAAGGCAAAACGGCGACAATACAAGGGCTTGAAGAAGAGGGTAGAGAAAAGGTACGGGGCGAGTGCATAGGAACCTTTGGAAGGATAGGCGACTGTGTTTTCGATGTCCTGAGCTGGCTTAGGATGGTGATCGAGATATTTCGTGTTGATGGTTATTCATGGATTCCTGCAGGATGGGAATTCTCAAGTTTTACGATTCTTTTCGAGATGAGCCTGTTTTCAAAGCTCATCCTTTTTGTGTAGAAACAACACACCTTATCTACAGTCACCTCTTTGGAACTTAGATTACTTGTGTAATTTTATTTACACACCGTGATAATTCTACGATACGCCCTCTTCGTCTAAACCATTCAAAATGCATTCACCCGCGGATACCTTCACTAACCTTATAAACAGATGCGAACGAACGATTCTTGATTTCTTGACATCTTGAATCTAAGCTGAAAAATGATCAATAATTGACTTGTGCCATATTGATGATTCTATGATAGTTCCAACCATACTCCTTACAAAAGTCATTTTTATTCAGGTGAAGTACATAGTGGATGACGAACTTCTATCAGGCGGCCATCAGACCATTCACGATAGAGAAGCCGCAAGTTCGTTATTAGTTCCACTTGCTGTCTATCAACATTTCCGATACCCCACTGCAACAGAATACAAAACAAACACCAATACAACTACTTCTATCGACTACACATCAGCAAACCAAACCCACAACAAGAAATGTCACCCAAAGACTCAACAGGATCCGGTGGACCAAGCGAGACGTTAAAGGATAAGTCACCACCAAGGTGGCTGGCGTGGATTGAAAGGCGCGGCACCGAATGGCATAATAGGAGATCTAGGTTGGAGGAGGTCGAGCGGCTCATTGAATATTGCACACGGATATTTGGACCAAAGATATACTGGGAGAATCATTGGATGGGGATCCAATTGACCACAAGCCCACATGCACACTTGTCTCCTGAGCTCCAAAAGCAAAAGGACAAAGAAGATTTGGAGGCGATGAAGGAATACAGAGATGATCTCAAGAAGAATATTAAAGCAAAATCATTGTCTCTGGTACCTGCTTCATAGGATGTCTGGTTCATTAAGCTCTGAGCTGGCTCGGAATACTTTTCGCTTGTTGACGGGCGGTTTGATACACGGAGAATTTCGTTTTGTACATAGATGGAGAACGCCCTAGAAGTTCAGCTTAACAAAACAAGGAGCTTTTGAGACCATGCAAAAAGCATACTGTTGTGGAATTTTTCTCATGTAAACCCTTTTTCCAATTGTGTCCATGAAACAGTTTCGTAAAGTCGTTGCAATAAAAGCGCCGAGTTAACATCAACTGTAAATGGTCCAAGATATTTGAAACACGTTCATTCGCAATTTATAATATGAGGTACAGTAGCGGCGGTCAGCTTCCCATCCAAGGTTCGCAAGGGTTACTGGTACGATCACACTTAAGTTGTATAACAGAGTTTTTCAGATTGGTCTAGAACTGAACTGAGGCAGCAGGCTTGGCGAAACTACCTGTTGGGTTTCCTGCAATTTGGAACCGGAATGGTATGTCTGACCAGTGCGGAAGGAAAACAGAATATTGCAAGGAGTAAAAGCGACACCACATGGTAAACTGGGGACACATTCAGGGTAGCCTCTGGCCAGATGTGCAGGTCCAAGCCAAGATTGTACTATTCCACTGACTAGATATTAGACCAGCAGAGACACTTGCCGTATCTCTGTCTGAAAATCACATCTTAAAAACCATGGGAAAAACACGTAAAATCCTTCGTGATCAAGAATGCCATGCCCACTCGCAAAACAGGGTTCATAATTCGTGTGCTGTACGAAAGGAGTAAATAGAGACCTTCCGCAATTCTTCGTGGTACATGCTTATCGCAAAATCAAATTCCTCCCAGTCCGATATCTCATATCCCATAAACCGATTCGCAACCTGCCATCGTCGCATCAACATCTAATACCCTCGCAAACCCGTTGCATCCCCCAACATTCCCGACGCAACGTGCCACCCGGCTCCACTCTTATGCATCTTCATACCCCATCTATGGAATAGCCTCATAATTCCCACTACCAGAGTGAGCACCACGGTTCGAGAAAAAGTAGTAAACGAGCATGCCGATAATAGGGAACAAGAAGACGACGAGACACCACAAGACTTTGTGGAGAGGAGGTCGGTTGGACTTTAAGACTTCGACTGTAGACGCATCACATTAGCAACGCACTTTATTACCACGAGATAGATTGGAGATTGGGGACAACTTACTGAAGACAATGATATCCAGAATCAAGATGATGAAGCCAATCACACCGCCACTCGTACCATATGCCAGGCTGTTTCCGTGGCTTTGTGCAATTACTTTCTCCTCTGCCATCGCGAAAGCGAAGAGGCAGAATTGGATGAAGAGGTTGTAGAAGGTGTTTGATTGCATGTTTGCGGTTGTAGTGGACTTAGTTTCTGTGTGGTTTTCTTGATGATTGGAGTTGTTGATGTGAAAGGGAGAAGGCGGAGTAGGTTGGTGTTTAAGTGGTCGTCATCTTTGTGACGTCACCCCTTCTCTGACTCGTACGTTGGACGGATTTCCTTGGTTAGGAGTTCTTTGTTTGCTTCACCTGACCAATTTATGTCAATTGCTTCGTTTCGGGGCAGTGAAGAGTCTAGAATCCCAGCTGATTTGGTTGTCGGAGTAATGTTCATATTTACAGTAACTTCTTCGAAATTGGAAGTTTCAGGCAACTGAGCTTCAGCTCTCGCTAAATCAGCTCCATTCATATACTCGAGTACCATATCCTTCATAGAGTTCAGCTGCAAAATCCACTAGATTTAAGTAGTTATCATCGTTAATATATAAAATGCCCACGTTCCCATCCGATTGACCAGTGGATATCGAGTTCTCAGAAAGTAACGGGAGCGGGGTTCCGAATGCAATGCGAATCCTACCCGAACGCTCGCTAGGAGATGCCTCCGCCCGCCAATCTCCACTATCGGGCCATTCCCTCCCGAAAGACCCACCCCACTCAAAAATCTCTTTATATAATTGAATAAGCAAATAACTTACAACAAAAATCACATCCACTCTCGGTCGTCTAGTTGGTTTATGGCGTCCGGCTGTAAATGTTCAGTCTACCGGAATGTCGCGCGTTCGACTCGCGCCTGAGAGATCTTGTTACCTTATTTTTTTTACAATTCTTTTATATTGAATTTATGGAGTTATGGTGCTTGATGGGTTTTCATGTTCTTTTTTGGATAAATGGCCAGACAAGGGCTTCCGTAGTGCTACTAGTATTATAACATGATGTTACTACTAGATGCCTGGCCAGATTTGGATCGTACGACTATGGGCACACCAAGTAAACTACACCAGTAATAAACTACATTTTGATTATCGAGATACAGTGTTCAAACTAAATGAATCGATAAGATTTCAAACACTGGAATTCTTGTATAATCCTTAGTTAAGTTTTCTAACAAAGGGGGTCAAAAATCTAGAAAATAGAATCGATGCCAAGACTTTAGGAATGTGAGCTCCATGTTTAATATGGTTTTATTAATCAAAGCTAGCAAGTGCATTTGGTTCAGCGTATTATAGCGCATGTTTTCTTTCATTAGCAATAATCTCAAAGTGTGGTTGTGGTACTGCAGTGGGTAAGGAAGTGTGGAAGTGATTTTGGTGTACAGTACAGTACTCCGTTGCTCACTCCCGATGCCGGCGCCGATCTACGTTCGGACTCCGATACTTGGACTTGGCATTTATTCATACCCTGGTGTGCCCATTTTGCTTCCATTCTCTACACTCACTTGATTCGGTAAATCTCGAATATTCCAAAGAGTTATCACATAGGATATTTGATTGAGCAAAATGAAAACCACAGCTTTACATCGTCGGCCTTTCCATCTATTACCCCCTCGTCGGAAATTGTTCGCAGAATTAGGATAGAACCTGGGGCGATTGACAGTATAGTACTAGGACAAAGGCGAAAGCTATCGCCGAATCGGGCCTAGCGCTGCGCTAAGGCGCCCCGCCCAGCGCCGGGTCTTAGCCCTCTAACCTTGCTTTGTAAGATACTTTTTCGAGGATTCCGGGCCCTTAAATAATTAATATAACTATACTATAGTGTCACGAATCACGTGCTAGCAGGTGACGAGTGAAGACCAGGCGGCGTCCTGACAGGTTAAACATTATCATGGACTCTTATAGCGAATAGGGACGCTTAGGCTAGCTAAGCGATCCAGGGATTTCTCTTGGTTAGTTATCACGTGATGGAAACGAGCGACATGGCCGACGAGTCGACCATGGCGACCACAGAGAACGAAGGTTCTATATAAGACTGGCACGTCTGCCATTAGATAGGAGCTTCGTGCTCAACTTAGTTATCAATCTTATCATATTAGTTTGACATCTTTGATACAAGTAACGAGTTCACTTCCAAGTGAACAACCCGATAGTCTTCTTCTTATCATAGCATACCAACCAGCGAACACCCAGCCAAGTTTAGTTAGCCAGTTTGAGTATTCGTTACACTTATAATAAATCTTTATTATAGTTAGTTAAATTAAGTAATTAAAAATATGTCGAATATACTAAAAATCGTCTAAATCCGACGTTATTTTATAAAGTAATTATAGTTTAAGTAAACCTAGGGTAAATATATTATATAGCCGCCACTAGCTAAGGTACGACTTACTATACTAAGTAAAACTATATACTACTTAATCTTATAATAGTAAAAGTAATCTAAATAGATCGCGAAGTAAATAAATCGATTTCTTAGATCTTAAGGAATATTTTAATATAAAAATTAGCTTAATAAGATATATTTATATAGTATAGTTATTAGTTAAAGATATTGTATTTATAGTAGAGGAAGCGAAGCTATAGTACTAAAGCTAGTGCTTAAATTATTTATAAAATACTTATACTATAACGCTTAATAGTAGATAAAAACTTAAATAAGTACTTAGAAATTTAAATTAAATAGTAATTAATTAATCTATATAGAATAAAGTAAGAGAAAGACTTATATTATAATAAAAATAAGTAGTTTTACTAGCCTTTAATTTTAAGATAAGGTAGCGCTATATCTTACTTTTATTTTACTAACTACTCTACTAATAATACTCTTAACCTTTTCGTTTTAGATTATTAATTACTAGGTTAGTGTCACGGATGCCAACAAAGGATAAAGTGTATACAGCTTTTGAATCAATTGCTAGAACTAAAACCGTAGGTACGAAGAAATCAAACTAAAGAGAGAAGAGAATCTGAAAGGAGCGAAGTTATTTAAGTTGTTCCAATGCCAAGTCTCGTCACGTGCTTGGCCAAGCGAATGAAATCCTGTCAAATGAAATCCAGCTCCGTCACAGTTAGAAGCGTATTTCCTATTTATATAAGACTCTATACTAAATTTACTATAGAATATATATAAAGTACTCCTTATCTAGGCTGTTAATAGTCTAGGTTTTATAGTAGTAAATAGTTTAAACTATTATACTAGCCCTTATATTTATACTAAACTATTTATAAAACTACCTTTAATTACTACTTATAGGTATATAAAAAGTCTCTAAATAAGTAATTTAGACTCTTATTATACTTGGAATTAAATCCTATTACTTTCTAGGTATATAATACAGAGCGATTTATATAGAGATAGGCTAGGGCGAGGGCTACTAAAAATACAAGGGTCTATTATATCTATAAAGTAGTATTTATATTAACTATAAAAATTTAATTAAATCCTATATAAATAGATTCTAATTCTATTACTTTTTAATAGTTCTTTCGGAATTTAATTAGTATAAAGCTAACTTATATTTATTTATTTATATTTAAATATATATATCCTAAGAAGTCTTTACGTTATTATAAAGTTAGCGATATTTACATATAATTATATATACCTTAGCTAGAACGTACTTTTACTTACCCTTCGAATATAAGTATTTAAACTTAAATTTAGGGTTCTTATATACTTATTTTACTAATTCTATATTCTCTTTATTCTTTACCTTCTTAATCTACTTATATATATAACTAATAGGGGTTTTAGTACCCTATTCCAGCGTAAAATAAAACTAAAATTACGCCTAGTCCCGCTTATAAAAAGAGCTTTATATAGAGAAGGCTATCTATTAGATATTAGTAATAAAATATAAGAGAATTAGATAGCATTTATTTACTTTCTAATTTAGAATCTTTTACTACTAAGTAATATAAACCTCTTACTAGAAGGGCGGGAGTATATACTACTAGTACTTTAAAGGGAGCGGAATCTCTTATACTTTTAGACCTATACCGCTAGCCTCCTAGTCTCGAATAATGGCCTTAATATTCTTATAAATTATTATAGGTATAATAATTATATTCTATTAAGTTACCTTAAATAAGTTAAGTTTAAGTATATTAATAGTAGGCCTATTATTCTAAATTTATAAGGCTTCTAGCGTTTATATCTCGAATACTAGCTATAAGATTATAAGTAGACTAGGTATATCTACCCTAGTCTTATAAGTATGTAACGAATACTCAAACTGGCTAACTAAACTTGGCTGGGTGTTCGCTGGTTGGTATGCTATGATAAGAAGAAGACTATCGGGTTGTTCACTTGGAAGTGAACTCGTTACTTGTATCAAAGATGTCAAACTAATATGATAAGATTGATAACTAAGTTGAGCACGAAGCTCCTATCTAATGGCAGACGT